ATAGTTTAATATCCAGACCATGCAAGGGCATTTCCAAATAAAGATGATTCTTATTTTTACCTACAATGTAGTGAAGCACAGTAACCTCCATCTTGTAAAGAACTGCTGTTTGAATTCTCTGCTATTGTCAGATAATCCCTAGTTCTGTAAACTCCATCACTGTAAACTCTTGTCATTGTAACTCTTGTCATTGTAAACTCTGTCAGTTTAAGACAGTCTCTTATTCTATAAAATGACTTTTAGTTCAAATAATAGAAGAAGATAAACTTAATTGTCTGACCTTGCAAGCTAGCCATCAATGTAATAGACTAATACTGATAACAATTCCCATATTGTTATGCCAAGCACAAACTCATTATGTATTCAAGGTTACATCTGTCTATAATAATAGCTCACACAGAGCTCTTTGTAATATCTGCAAACAAAGAGGCTCAAAAAGCATAAATAGGAAAAACTTCCTGTATGGGGTGCTCAGAGATTTGGAAAAGACACCTCCCCCTGGGCCGTGTGCGAATAAATGATTCCTAATTAATTGGTTTATTAAGGCATCCTTTATCTCACTCAATAATTTATGATACAAGAGTAGCAGGCACTAATGTTAGGTCTTGGAGAAGATTTAGAACGTAAGACACTATGGTCCTCATCCTCAGGAGTTCAAAGTAGACTGGGGAAAACTTCAGGTAATCGGATAGTTACAATATAGTGAGATAAGTGCTGTAACAGGTATGTGAGCTAAGTACCAAGACAGTATTGAAGAGGGAAGGATTAACTCCCCCAAAAGACCTAGAAAGCATTTCAAAATTCACTTATTTAACAAATATTTACTGACTTCTTAATATGTGCCAAGCCCTGTGACAGGTCCAAGAATACAAAGGTAAATAAAATACCCAAGGTCCCTGTACTCATAAAATTTATACTCTAGAATTCAGAGGGAAAGTTGCATTTGAGTGGGCTGACAAATGAGTAGGGATTCACTCTGTAAAAAGAGAGAAAGTCTTTCTATGAAAAGGGACCAACATTATTCAAAGCCCTGGAGACATAAAAGAGAAGAGCTTATACAGAGAATAGCAAGAAATGGGTTGTGGCTGGAAAGAACTCCTGTGAATAGAGAGCTACAAAGGGATGAGGGGACAAGGCTCACTGGTCAGAACAGAAAGGGTGACATATGCCATGGCAAGGCTTTTGGAGTTTTCGTTCATTTGGCCATTCAGAAAAATGTACTGCAGACTTCTATATGCCAAACCCCGTGCCGGGAACAGGGGACACAAAATCATTAAGACATACTCTTTCAAGAAGCTTAGAGTGTAACAGGGCACAGGCATGGAAAGAAACATTTACAATTAAGCAAATCAAGTCCAATGATAGGGGCATGTTTAAGATGCAGGGATGTAAAACTGAATAAAGGAAATCTCATTTAAAATGGGAGTCGGGAGGCCAGAAGGAGCTGTCGTGCACTACGATTAGACCCCAATAGGAAGGGACCGTATCTTGCATTCCCAACAAAAAATGTTTCTACTCTACTAGGAGGAAGATTTTCCGTTTTGCCCTTCAACAAGCCTAACCAATAAGAACCCTCAAAACTCGGCCAATCAGAAGCCATCATCACTCTGAACTCTCTCTTTCCTCCAATGGACTTATCATCAAAGTACCATCCCCTCCCAACTTCCTGTTGCTGTTGTTTTCTATAAAGTTTCCTCTCCTTTGTTTGCTGGACTTGCCTATAGTTTTTGCAATGGCATGTTTGTATTGAATTTCAATTCTCTGCCATTCCCAAATAAACCCATTTTTGCTGGTAAAAATAACTGGCTGTTTTATTTTTAAGGTCAACAAGGGAGTGATCAGATTGGCTCTGTATCTGGGAGACACAAAGGTGGTGAGAAAAGGTCTCATAGTACAGCAGACTCTTAAACTAAGTTGTGGGGAACAGATAAGATTTCATAAAGTAGAAGAGAATAGCAAACACTTGCATAGTACTTAGAATGTGCCAGGCACTGTTCCAAGCACTTTATATATGGAGTGGGGCAAAAGTAGGTTTATAATTGTGAGTACACAAAACACAGAGTTCATTCTTGTATTATTACTTATTATATTATTTTCCATACAAACAACTATAAACCTACTATTGCCCCACTCTGTATATTGAGTCACTCCAACTTCATAACTAATATAAAATAGGTTTTATTATTAATTCCATTTTATAAGCGAGGAAAAACACAAAGGTTAAATAACTTGTCCAACAACACACCAGGAGTAATGGCAGAGCTGGGTTTTTAACCGAGGCAGACTGTTTCCAGTCTGTTTTTACTTATATTATCATGTGACCTCCAAGACAAGGGAGTAAAACCATTCTAGGCAAACAGGAAAGCAATGCAAAGGTACAGAAGTATGAAAGAGCACATCTTTGGACAACTGTGAGTGGCTGACAGCGGATGAAATGTACATTAAGAAGAGCCAGCAGGGGATGAGGCAGGCAGGTCATGGAGAACCTTGAGTGTCATGTAAAGAAATGTTTTTATCAATAGGTAATGAGAAACCACTGAAAGATTAGGCAGGGAGATGACATGAGAAGAATTTTATTTTTTTACTTACTCCTCTGGTTAAGTGTAGAGCGAAGATTGACAGGGGATGCTAAGTAACCAGATCATAGAAATGCTCCAGATAAGAAAAATTTTTAAGAGATTTAAGGACAAGGAAGATTTTTAGGAGGCAGAAGTGAAAAATTGGATACGAGAGAAGAGTTAATGATGGTTTCTGTTACTAGTCCTAGTTACTTAGTATCCTATCTAATAAAAGGGCAATATGCAAATTAACCATCACTCCATCACAAATATGTGGCTTTCATAGCCACAAGATGGCGGCACCCAGTCCTCTCAGCCCCGGGCGGAAAGAGGGGGAGGGGGGAAAGCTGCTGAGAGGAGGCAGCGTGAGTGGTCTGGCAGAATGCTTGCTTCATCACCACGGCGACAAGGCGCCAATGAGCCTCTGGGCCAAGGAGAGCCTCTGGGCAGGAAGCAGGGAGCAGCCAGACCCCACAGAGAGCTACTGGTGCCCAGATTCGTGCGCAGTGCTACTAGTATGGATATAAAAGTAAGTACAGGAGAATAAAAGTCAAGCTTGATAGAAAAGCTATTGCATTTAATAGAAGTGTTATCCTATATGCCTACTGTTTATTCTGATTCCATAATCTTCATATGACGTATTTTCATCATCATACAGCAGTGTTTTTCAACCTTTTTTGGGCAAAGGCACACTTGTTTCATGAAAAAAATCACGAGGCACACCACCATTAGAAAATGTTAAAAAATTTAACTCTGTGCCTATATTGACTATATATAAAGTAATTCTCTTGAATAGGAATCAAATAAACACAAAGAAAGTATTTTATAATTACTTTATTATGAAATATTAAGTAAACAAAATAGTGAAAAATTATAAAATTCTTGTCTTGTCTGCACCTACGGCACACCAGGCAACATCAACACTAGTGTGCCGCGGAACAGCGGTTGAAAAACGCTGTCATACAGTGATTCTCAACTGGGCACAAGTAGAGATATAGAGGGTAAAAGGGGCAGGTAGAAATAAATTAGAATCTGGGTGTTTGTATGTGAATGTAGGTGTAGTTTAATTATTACTCCTCTTTTTCTTCCAGTCTAATATCACAATCCTGCCCACCACCATCTCTCATTAAGAATTACTGATGTATACAATTATCCATGAATACTCTGAAAAAACAGAAGCAGTTGAAAACTTTGAATTGCAAGACAAGGAGAGACTTTAAAGATCAGTAGGTCTCAACCAGGGCTGCTTACAAATATGTGAGGGCATTTCTGATTATCACAGTGGGAGGTGCTAATGGCACTGAGTATTCACAGGGCAGTTCCAAATAATGAAGAATTATCTTACCCCAAATGTTAATAATGGTCCTTTAAAGAAACACTGATATTACTCAATCCCACATTTTAAAAAATATATTTTTTTATTGATTTCACAGAGGAAGGGACAAGGAGAGATAGAAACATCAATGATGAGAGAGAATCATTGACTGGCTGCCTCCCTGCAGGCACCCAACTGGGGACTGAGCCCACAACCTGGGCATCTGCCCTTGACTGGAATTGAACCGGGACCCTTCAGTCTGCAGACCAATGCTCTACGCACTGATCAAAACCAACTAGGGCTCAACTCTACATTTTATGGAGAGGACAAACTGAGATCCCAGAGAAGAAAATGGCTTGCTGAAGATCACCCAGTTGCACAGTAAAGACTAGGAACCAGGGCTTCTGTTTATACTCTCCTTCCTTGCTTCTAATCCCAGCCTAGTAAGCTCTTGGGAGCACAAACATTAGGAGTCTAGAGGAGGAAGGGGAACCAATAAAGAAAACAGAAAAGAAATAGTCCACTATGTAGGAAGAGAGGTTCAAGAAGACAAAGCGAACTAATTACAAGTAGTTTTTTTTTTTCCAGTAAAATATTTATTTTATCATTAATTGAGTATCTATGTTGACTGATTCACTGTTGGCTGTCTATCCTTCTGCTCCTTGACTCTTCCTTGCTAACGCACGCAGGTTGCACAGAGTCCATTAAAATAGTCTCTTTTTCAATCTCAGATATAGCTATGAAGGCCTTGTGATACAGTTCGGGCCAATAAGATAGGAGAGTACAGTATCATCACCCGGCCTTTCTGAGTTCATACAGAGTACATAAAATCATACTTGGTACTTTAACATTCCTAATAGACAAAATTTTGCAGAAGAATAACATAGGGGGTTTGTCCTGCCAGCTACAAAACATACCATTAAGCCAAAGTAATTAGACAAGTGTAAGAGAAATACTAGTATTGATTAAATCTAAATCAGTTCAGGATATGGGGGAAACAAATTGGGAGTGGTCAGGAACCGTGGGAAGTATAGCAAAAACAACCCACAGGTCTTCCACAGAACTCCACATCACCTTGGCATCACAGTCCACTGCACATTTTCTCTAGTCCCGGGTCCCCTTCTCACCTTCAGAGATTCAATTGTGGCCTGCTTGTAAATCTTTCCTCCAGGATCTCTCTTCTGAGGACTACTCTGGAGTCTAGGCGTTCGAATGACGAATTTATCCATTTCTAGGGGCCTTCGTGTGCTTGCAGTGTGTTCTGCTCAAGAAAAGAGGGCAGATTCTAAAACGTCATAACTGTTGGGATGTGTGTTCCCTAAAATGACATAACTGCGTTCTATACACTCTGGATTCTGGAAGCTTTCCTGAATTCTGAGTGGACTTTATGGGAAGATTTTCTCTTGAAAAAGAAACATCTTCCTAAGAACTGAAACTTGTACAATAACGCGTCTACTCTCTGGATCAGAAAGTGCCTATTTTCAGAAGGGCACGCTGTGCAGGGGATTCCAATACAATACTGGGCCAGGCGTTGAACCCAGTGGCAAACCTCTTCCAAATTAGGTTAGGTTGTGGCAGGTTCAAGTTCCACTGGGAGCAATGAAGCTCTCTTAATTACTACCCCACCTTAGCTGCAACCCCAAGATTTTCCCTAGTAACCAGCAACCAGCAACCACCTCCACATCTCAGCAAAGTCCTCACAACAAGCCTCTATCTCCATGAACTGCTTGGTGGTCACAAGGCCCTCCCTATCCACGATTATATAGGCTTCTCGATCCCCGAGCGAAAATAAACACCATCTCTGCCCTCAGCACTCATGAGCCCAGAAAGGGGGACCTAATAACGGTCTGACGTGAAACGCACCAGGAAAAGCAGCCTGGCAGCAGCGAGGCCCCTCCAGAGAACTAAGGTTGCAAAGAGTCCATTAAAACAGTCTCTTTCCCAGTCTCATCCTGATGAAACTAACCGGATGCTACTTTCCAGGCTGGTAGTTTCTCGGAAGCGACGTCCGCCCGCAGGGAGCCTCAGCGACACAGCACACCACATTCCCCAGAATGCACTGCGAAGGGTACTGTAGTTCTCCGAGACCAGCTTTCCCGGAAGCCAGGGCGCCTCCCGCCGGTGGAGAACTACGTGCCCCAGCATGCCTTGCAAAGGAAAAAAGGGGTCTTGGGGGGGGGTGTGCCGGTTCGCTCCCGTGCTCGCGAGAGTTGGCCCCACCTCTTCTGACTGGGACAGCGGAGGCGGAAGCGGCAGCCGGGAGAAGGGGCGGGGAAGGGGCTGGCCCCGGAAGGAGGAGGAAATCCTGAAAAGAAAACAGCAACAAGCTGAGCTGCTGTGACAGAGAGACAAAATGGCGGTGCCGAGAGGGAGCCTCCGGGCCAGGGCCCAGCTGGGGCTTCCGCCGCTGCTGCTGCTGACCGTGGCTCTGGCCGGAGGCTCGGGGGCTGCCTCGGCCGAAGCGTTTGACTCGGTTTTGGGGGATACGGCGTCTTGCCACCGGGCCTGTCAGTTGACCTACCCCTTGCACACCTACCCCAAGGTAGGGCATGTCCGAACGGGCTACAAACCCTTCCCTGGCCGCTCGTCTTTCCGCCCTCCCGCTCCTCTGTCGGCTCTGGGAACCTGGCCGTTGAATCCGCCATTCAACCGCCATCTCCCGTGTGTGTCGCTCCTGTTTTCCTCCCTAACCCTACTCGCATCCGCTCCCGCTGCTAATCATTGCCAGAAGCTTGTGCTGCACCCACCCTGTGGTGGGCCGGGGGATACGAGGATGAGAAAGAGAGCTAAGCGGGAAGAGGATGCTGACTGTTAACACGGACCCTCACCTTCAGGGAGCCTAAGGGGGGGCGGGGGCGGGGCCGGGAGCAGAAACGCAAGCCCACAAAGGCTTCCTTCATAAACCATGTTTACTGAGCACCTCTCTGGGCCGAGAGCTAAGTGTCCGTTCCGGGAGTCGGACGCGGAGACAATCCCACTGTGGTATGGAATGGGTTAAGCAGCCCGAGGAGCCGTGAGCCGCACTGAAAGGTCTTTCTCCCTCCGGTGTTGAGTTACTGTGTGCCAGGCGCTGCCACCGGGGCCTGGGATGGCTTCGAGAAGAAGCAGGTAGATACACCTGCATTGAAAGAATTTACCTTTTAGTGAAGTGAGTAACGAAATGAGACCAGCCCTCAGGGAAGAAAGAAGGGGGTACAGCTTGTGGAGAGGAATAACCTACTTTCATTGCCCACCCCCCATCCCCACATACCCTACCCCCACACACAAACACAGGTGCTGTCTTTCCTTAATTCCATTCTGCTTCTCAAGTTGGTTTTTTTTTTTTCCGGCTTCTGGAGAACTCTGTTGACACAACATTCTAGATTGTGGGGTGAACTCCCTCACCCTTTCCCATATATGTATGCCTTCCTCAACCCCACTGCCTTCATTGGCAAGAGCTTTTGTGATGTTGCTGGTCTTTCTCTTCTTGTTTTTCCTTCATCTCTATATCGTTGGTGTGCCTAGCACATTTTGTTTGCTCTCTTAATCTACAAAGTGACCAGGAGGTTATGCCCAGTGAAATTAGGATGCTCCTTATCGGCAAGTGTTTTCAGGTCTTTGAAAATGGAAGGTTCCAAATGCTTTCACTTCCCATATGTCTGTTTACATTGCCTGAGGATTATCAGTTTCCAAGACAAAATGTGGCAGAGGGTAGTATCCTAAAATTTTCAGTCAGAGACTGAAAGAGAGCGAAGTGAAAAATTCTGATTTCCAGACTTAATGTATACTATCCCTAACTACATTGTCTTCTCTTAGAAACCTCTCATCTGAGAGGATTGTATGGGGAAACTCATTATATTGATTTGACTTGGTTTGGCATGGAGACTTATTTTGCATCATTCAACTATTTGATTTTGGATTTTATTTCTGAGATTTTTTTTTTTCCTAGCAAATTTGCAGTATGAATCAGAATCCTGGGAGAATAACCAAGTAATTTGAAAGGATAGACATTTCTGCAACTTTTAAGTACTTTTATAATATCCACTCCTTACTAAAATACTCTGATCTCTAAGCTATTGATATTTTTACTTGTTCTTTAAAGTTGTTGTCACCAGGAACTCTAAATCATTTGGCTTCCTGTAAATACTAGATTTAAAACGTATTAACTGTCTTCCTTCTGTTAGCCGATTTGATGAGAGATTACCCATTATTCCTAATTCTCACAACCACCCTGCAAAGTAGGGTTTTACAATTGAGGAAATTGAGGGTCTGATAGGTTAAGTGATTTGCCCAAGGTCACATAGCCAAGAACTAGTGGAATAGTTGGAATTCAGTCCTAAAACTGGCTACACTGTGCTGCCTTTTATTAAAAAGTTTTGTTGAAAATTTACTTGTTTCACTGATAACTGTTGGCCCTCCTCCTACTTATTGTACTTTGCAGTTGGGGGTGGGGGTGGGGAGGAAAGCAGTGTGTTATATAAGAAATGAATTTAGATGAATTTACAAGCTCACATAGCCTCTCTTGGTCTGGCATTTATAGCTGGCAGATAGAAATCTTATTTGAATGTCTTATTTTCAGAAGTATTTTGTTGTAAGGATGTAGAATACCTTAACTGTAAGTAATTATTTTCAAATTATGGTATTTTTACCCTTTAACTTTCCTTAAAAGTGCAGTTGCTTAAATTGCCTGGGTCTAAATACAAGAGACATAAGTTTATGTTAAAAACAAAGCTGACTAAATCCAGCCTGGTCATATTTTTTTTTTTTTACAAAATGTGGACTCTGGAACCATAGAAATCCAGGTTCCATCCACAGATCCACTTGTACTATATGTGTGTCTTTACTGATCACTTCTTATGCTGTTTTGTCAGGTATAGAAAAAAATCTTCACACCCTGCAAAGCTAGTGTGAGAATTAAAGATAATATATGTGGCATTCTCAGCAACTGCCCAAATGCTGAATAATGAGAGAATAGTTAGTTTTACTTAGCTCAGGATGTGAAAATGCACATAAAATCTATAAGTGGTATCATTGAAATTCATTGTAATTATTTAGATGGTATTTCATTTGGTGGGGAGCACCATTTCCTTGTGCTCTAAATCAAAGGAAATATCTACAATGATAAAAGTAGAATATGCTAATTAGACCGGACAGCCAAATGACCTTCTGGAAGTCCTTCTGGACGAAGCCTGGGTGGTGGGGCCGAGGCAGAGGCAGTTAGGGGCAATTAGGCAGGTAGGTGAGCAGTTAGGGGCTATGAGATAGGCAGGTGAGTGGTTAGGGGTGTTCAAGCAGGCAGGCGAGTGGTTAGGAGCCAGTGGTCCCAGATTGTGAAAGGGATCAAGCCTAAACTGGCAGTTGGACATCCCCCAAGCCCTAAGAGTTCCCGGATTGTGAGAGGATACAGGCCAGGCTGAGAGACCCCCCCCTTCCCAATGCACGAATTCGTGCACTGGGCCTCTAGTATTTGATAAAAGCTTGCCAGTCATTTGGGATACATGGGGCATGAATCGTTGACTCAGAGTAATAACATTAACTAGAACACATGTGTCAAACACAAGGCCCGCGGGCCAAATCCGTCCCGCCAGGCCTTGCAATGTGGCCCGCACCGCGCTGTCATCACTGCACTCCGCTGCGTTTCCATCACAATGACAGTTTATGACTGTTCAGTAAACCATTCGGCCCGCGATTTAGGCTGGATTTTAGATTTTGGCCCCTTCTCTGATTGAGTTCGACACCCCTAAACTAGAACATGAAACACGTACTTAGAATAAGGATGTGATTCTTCATAATGATTTTTGAGTGCCTACTCTGTGCCAGTTGTTCTATCAGATGTTAAATATTAGTTCAGTGACTGACACGTTATGGTTGCTCATTAAATATATTATTAATGTTATATCTATTTGTGTAGCACAATATTAATGGTATTGTGAATATAAAATGTACAGCCCTCATATTCAAGATTGACATAAGTTGTCCCTATTTTACAAGTAAGAAAACTGAGGCTGAGAGATTAGGTTACTTCCGAAGGTTGTACAAATGGTGGGGCTGAGCTTTAAATCTAGACTGTTTTCACCATGCCATACATCTTCTCTTCTGAAAATGGTGCTGGAGCCTGGCCAGAGTGCTCAGTTGGTTGAGTTTTGTGCACACACATACCTGGATTTAGGTTTCAGTCCCCCAAAGGGGCACTTACCGAAGGTAACCTGTGGATGTTTCTCTCTCTCTCTTCCCCTCCCTCTCTCTTCCCCTTCCTTTCTCTAAGCATGTCCTCCGGTGAGGATTTAAAAAAAAAAAAAAAAAAATGGTACTAGAGGGCTTATTTGGGTTGGTTTAACAGAAGAAAACATATCTGAAAAGGAAATGGCATTCAGTAAAGCTCTTAATGATGAGCTCATGCCTCCTCTGTGCAGTATAAGGAAATATGTGGGACTCCAAAGACATGAAAATTCTTTCATTGTTGTACAAAGTCTGCAAAGGCTATTCAGGTATGACATTTATTTTAATTGCTAAAATTCTTCCAGTTTCACCTTAACAATAAATGCAACTAGAACTGAGGTCCTAAAATGTGCTGCCTTCAAAGCTTGCTTAATATTAGACTGCAGCCATCTCTTTCTAATGGATTGCTGCTGCTACATAAACTTTACTAATCCTCTGCTGGAAAGAAACGCAACTTGTATTCTGTTGGTTGCAAATTGGTATATGCACATGGTGTTTCCTTCCCTTTTTTGGTGCCCGCCAGTTTGTACACAGTGGATCACATAGTAAGTTGAGGGGCTTCCCCACATGTACTGGTTTGTTTCAAATACTATATGTAGTTCATTGATGAAAAGCCTGTTGAAGACATTGTCATTGGTCTTAACTAAGCAGGTAACATTTCCCAGTAATGAAAAATATATCCTATCTTGAGTTCACACACATATGCAATGATGCCTATAAGTTGTTTTCTCTTTCACAACTCTATTATTATGATTAACACTACTGTTTATTGAGTACCTTGTATGCTCCAGGCACTGTGCTAAGAATAGTTATTTCCAGCAGTACTGAGGGGGTTGGAGACAATTTATAGCTATTATCTCCTTTTATGATGAGAAAAACTGAGATTTAG